CCCCAAAACCCCAAAACCCCAAAACCCCAAAACCCCAATCATAATTCCAAGATTGAAAATAATAAGCCCTTGATCTATGATTATTAGAAGTGCATTACAGTCTTCTGTAAGAAGCTTAAAACCAGGCACCACGAAGAGCACTGGCAAGGGCTTGTCACCTCTTTAAGCATTTTCAGGATCAGAGATCTCAATATCCGATCCAAACTCTTTATGCGGATCTCTCTTAGGAATATGCCATAAAGACATGTAATCAAGGACGCCTTTCTTCTTAAGATCAGACATCGCCTTTAGAATTTTAGTCTGGTCTTCCAAACTCAGGGGGAAATTATTTGAGAAATTTGCCTTAGACTCTAACTCTTTGATCTTATTCTTAAGGAAAAAGATTTTGTTCCTGACATATACTAACTTCCTTACGGCTTTTCTGATGTCTTGGAGGATCTTCATGTAATCTTTACCATGCTCTCTCACAAAATTGATCAAACGTTTAGAAATCTTAGTTTCTAGAATCTGTTTCATAACTGGGTCTTCTTCCTTCCTTTTCATGAACTTCTTGCGCTCAGAGTTAGCAATCTTGATGAATTTGCTGATCGAGACCTAAAGCAAATAAGATCTTATTATAAATAATAGTAGGAATGGTTACATTGTCAAATACAACGATTGCGATCTGGCCTTCAACTGTAAGGATATTATCTAGTATCTCCTGAAAATGCTTCCTCAGAATCGGTATCTTTTCCACATTTATCCCTGGTAAATATTCATTAGAATCCTCTTTGCGGGTTCATAGACCGTTTTCCGGCTTATTCTCGTTAATGAGGCTGTTTTCAGAATTCGTGGTACCATTAATGAGGTTTAGAAGCTTGCTGATCTCTGGCAACTTGACCTCTTCAAAATTCTTTAAGTTCTGTTGAACCTGGACATGTTCTGAAGTCCGTCCGAACTCTTCTTGCTCCTGGTCCTCTCTGTCCTGCTTGAGTTTAGCAATTTCTCATCTGAGTTGGTCAACCTGTTCTTGGAGTTCTAAGTTCCTCTTCTCGAGTCTTTGGTAGTACTCCTTCTTACGTTGTCTGTGTTTGCGGGCTCTCTCTCTGCTGCTGGTGGCGTTCTGCCTACTCTCGAGCTCGTACTCTTCATCAGAGGAGGTCTTGGCTCGCTTTGTGCCCACTAATGACATTTCTTTTATTATTATCAACCAAGCTAAGAGCTCAAGGGGTTTTGGGGTTTTGGGGTTTTGGGGTTTTGGGGTTTTGGGGTTTTGGGG